ACGCCACTCGATTTACAACATTTCTATTAAACACAACCTATGTACATAACATAGGTACATATTTATGTATGCATGCGCTCAATTCAATAGTTTAGTTATTTTTAAAATTCATTGTAATAACAATTTTTTAATGTGTAAACCGACATGTTCTTTGCATTAAGCGATAATAAAAAAAACTTATACATACATATATTTAATTTGATGATATAATATTAAATAAATATTTTAACTACAATTTAATTTAGTTAATTACTTTTTTAATACATAGATATGCTGCAACCTGGCACTTACTTGCCTATCGGCATAATTTTTCAAATGTGCCTGAGCTGCTACTTCATACTAATAACTTCATTTTCTTTGTTGCCTCAATATATCCTAAAAAGACTTAAAATTTACATTAAACAATAGAAATCGCAAAAATTAGCAAATAAAATACTCCCTTCATTTTGTTTTGTTGTCAAATTTCGAAGAAATGTGAATTCACCACGATGCAATACAGAAAGAACAAGGACCAGGGATGTAATTTTAAGTATTCAGTGGTAATGCGCAGAGCGTTCCGAGTAGCAAAATTAATTTGTATCAAATATAACATTAAACGGTGATTCTAATACATTTTTTAATATTATTAATCAGAGTACATACATTAAATGGTATTTCTTTCAAAAATTAATGCACTATATGCATTTTTTTATATTTCTTAAGTTTCTATCATTAGTACTGAAAAGCAACCCTGCGTGTAAGAAATTATGTGGTACCTAAAATTTCACCTCTGAAAAACTTTATCCCCATAAAGGACTTCACCACAGTTTTTTTACTGGATATACTGAGGTGTATACGCAGCACAGTGTTCTATTTTAGAAAAAAAGGACAAAATCAAACGAGAAGAGATAGCGAAGTAAATGTAATGGTGTTTCAAAGTTTTTGGAATGAGGAATCCAGGAAAATAGTCTCGTTTGGTAGAATAATTACCTTGACCTTTAAAAGTACATTAAAAAATAGATGATTTAAATTTGTTCCTTTTTTGGCGTGAAACCAGTATGCAGGAAGTTTTTGAAAAGTTGTAAACCCATATTTTTGCTGTTCACACATCAAGGAATTCATTTCCTTTGTCGCAAGAATCGAAAATCGTTTCATTTTAAATTGTTTTTAAAAAGTTTATTACAAGGTAAAAAAAATTATTAAGGTAAAAAAATATAAAAAAATCTAAAACTTTACTTTTGAAAGTGATTTTAAAGGTCTGATTAAATGAAAAGTTACCTCAAGACCGCCTTCAAAAGGAAAATCTTTTGACTTTTATTCTTTAGACTTAAGAGCAAGTGCAATGAACTTAAATTTTTTTTTTGGTTTTTGCGACCATAGAAATGGATTCCCTGATGCAAGAAAAGCAAAAAAATGTGTTAAAAAAGTTCGTTGCATACTGGTTTCAGGAAAAAAATTAACATATTCAATATTTGAAGGTCGCTCTCGTTTAAACAGCCATAAAGCATTGGGCGATTTAGTGGAGAAAAAATTCCGAAAGAAAATCCGCCTTGGTATCGGCTTTCGATACGAGTAATTTTTTTCTATATCTACTCTGTACACGGGGGAGGGGGTCGGGGGACGGGTGTTTCCTAAGTATTTATGAACCTCATATCGATTTGTATTTTTATTAAATGAATTTTTCGCAACTATTAGTAGAATGATTTTTGTCACAATATTTAACAATGCTTTATTTTATAACATTATATCCAATATTCTTGGCTTTTTTGACATAATGTCGATAACATTTTCGTTCGTTACTTCCACGTCTCGGTGCACGTTCAACAACGCTAGCCCGTTCAATCGATCTTCGCCTGTTTTACTTCGTAGATAAGTTTTCAAATTTCGCAATTCCCAGAACGATGTTGTTGTAATTGATGTTGACGTTTTTTCGTTTGATGCAGTAACTTAAATTTGTTGAGCACCCCTCTCTTGAATAATCGTCGGCTGAAGGGGGAAATATACCCAGTAAACCCACAATTGCACAATTATTGTACAATCTTCGGGCGATTCCCTGGGCACTTTCGGAATTTTCGTACTAATGACTGTATCTGCATTTGCATGATTGTGAATTTCTGTGTCCAACCCCCAAAAAAATCATAAACATTAAATAAACAAAAGACAAATGCCAAATGCCAAAACCGGTCAAAATATCGCTATTATTTTATTTTGTAGACCATTATATGTACATATGTACATAACAGGGATGTTGCGAATATTTGCATTCGCATTCGTGTTGCGAAGGATTCGCATCATTTAACACATTCGCATTCGAATCAATGATACAAATGTTTTGCGAATGCGAATGCGTACATGGGCAGAGACTATAACATTGTTGAAATGGCTCTAAGTCTATCTAACCAGGGTGCGGACAATAACCGGCTTTTAGCTTCAAGCGCTAAACGGTTAGTAGTAGTGTATATCAAGCAACATTGATGGGCCTTCAACAAGTACTGCTAATAAGCAACCAAGAAATAATTTTAGATTCCTCCAGCGAAAACGAAGGCTCGGATGTATCATCTGGCGACATTAAAAAATGTGAAATTAAAGCTCAATTGAAGGCCTATCTTAAAGAAAAACGAGCTCATCTCGGTGAAAATCCTCTCGAATGGTGGAAAACTAAACTAAAATACAACAAATTTACAGATCTGGCCGCAAATATTTGAGCGCTCCACCCGCCAGCGTTCCAAGTGAGCAATTGTTCAGTGCAGTCGACCTTATATACGAGCCTCTAAGAAATAGCCTCATGGGAGAAAAGGCAGCAAAATTACTTTTTGGAAATATAATATGCCTCTTTTGAACTTTGGCTAATAGATCAATATAATAGACTTTTTTTTACACACATACTACGTACCGATGCTTAAAATTTTTATGGAGCAGTAAGCGACAAACTTTATGAGCGCTTATGAATAGTTGTCGATAATTTCAAAATTTCTCGTTTTCAAATGGAAATTGTCGATGCTTGTTTTTACCACATTAAGGGCCGGTTTCTTAAAGACTGATTAAATTATTTTTAATCAGCGATTGGTTAATCACTGATATCTTTAATTGACAATTTCGTTTTCACCAAGGTCCGATTAGCTTACCTCCGATTATGTCGATCATTGTGAATTTTTTCATAAAGAGTTCACAAAAGTTGCATTGTGAATCGACAAAAGCAGACTACACAGCTGATTTTTGTTTTTGTGTGGTTTTTGTTTGCAGTTTTCTTGTTTTAAAATTGTTTTAAACAATTGACAATTGTGTTATAGATATTGTGCTTACCAATTTGTGTACCAGCTCGTTAATTATTAGCCTATTCCCGTAACCAGGATTTGCAGGTTTTACAGGAAAAGCTGTTTCCGCCTTTAATACAACTTGTATGAACGTGGCGGACGGAAACCTTCCTGTAAAACTTGCAAATCCTGGAGTACGGGAATAGGCTATATGATAACCCACATGTTCCTTCAAATATCACATCACTTTTGGATTCATTTTACATGGTCGTATAGAAAATGGACGCACTTTAACAATTTAAAGAATCTCGCAGGAATAGCTTGGTGTTTTGTGGACAATAACAAAAATGGATTCAAATATAAGAAAAAGTCGCCTTCCAAACTTTACCAGCGCGGAGGAGACTTTATTAATATCTTTGGCCGAGCAGCACGCCATGATTTTAGAAAATAAAAGGACTGATGCTGTATTCTGCGAGGAGAAAAAAAAGGTGTGGGAGAAAATTGATGTTGCGTTTGAGGCCCAGATGGGTGTTAAAAGAGGGCCGAAGAACTTGCGAGAAAAATACGAAAATTTGAAACGAAAAGCAAGAAAGTCCCTAGCCGAAGAGAGAAGGGAAATGTACAAAACAGGTGGTGGCCAATTCCGAAGCTATACTGACTCCAACACAGACAGGCTAGCAGCTTTAATGGGCCAGTCGGCAACCGGCTTGTCCAACAGTTTTGATAGTGATGGTAAGATTTTTTGTACATATCTTTACACGTGATAGTTATTGATGTTTAATAATATTAATGGTATTTCAGTCATTACATATGAAATAGAGACGATAGCAGAAAATGACGCCGTTCCCGAAATTTTGGAGGACTCCATGAGAAGCTACACAGCGGAGCCAGTTGAAGCAACTGAGGCCGTAGAAAATGTAGTATATTCTAAATATTATTTATTCTATATTATTTTTCTAAATTAATGTAAAATTTTTAGGACATTACAACCGATTGGAGCGCATGGAACCCAACACTGCTTAAAAAGAAGAAATCAGAAAAACTAGCGGTGAAAAATGAAAAGGGAAAGCAAAAGTTTGACCATCAACAAGCTTTCTGGGAAGATGAGAACAAGAGAGCAGCCGAAAGACATCAGTGGGCCAAAAAAAAACACGAATTAGAGATTTCGGAAGCAGAGATGAAGTTAGAACTTTTACAAATTGATATGAAATTAAAAAACAGGCAAAGTGAAAGTCAGTGTACATAGACAACAGAGTATATATAAATTAGAAAGGTGAAAGAGTTCCTTATCAACACCTGAAGTTGCTTTATTCGTACATATATATTTATTTTTATCAATGAGCTCGATGTATTCCAAACGGTTATGTTACGTTTTCCTCCAAAATTTCATTATTATTATCATTTTCTGCTATCGGCTCTATTTAATATGGAAAGACTGAAATACCATTAATATTTAGTTTTTTGAAAATTATTATTTAATTTTATTTATATAAAACTCATTTGGAAGGTATTTTCAGTGTCAAGAGTATGCATACGCAGATGTTTCGATGATTTTTATTTATTTACACTATTATTGCGCATTGTTGGTGCTGGCTGTATATTCCAAATGGGTTCAATGGAAAAACAGTGCCGATTTTTTTATGAAGAGTGATGCACTCGAATATACTTACATATATGTACATATTTATGTATATTACAAATACATATGTATATCTATGTAGATAACATATAGTCTAGTAATAGGAAATAAAATAAATAAATTGTCTACAAAACAGAATTTTGTTTATATTATGAAATTGCTTTTGAAGGTATGGATCTTACAAAATTTATGTTAGCCTATTAATATATACATACAGTTGTCCACAAAATAATAGCAGTACGATATCTTGACCACTTTTGACTATTTGTCTTTTGTTTATTTAATGCTTAATATTTTTTTTGTAAAAGTCTTGCTGGTTATACAACAAACACCATATAAATTAAATATATAAATAGATGGTCAAAACTTGAAAAATAAAATCGTTTCTAATTATCCGGCCACCAGTGTATATGGTACGAATACCAACCGAACCCGAATTCGAATATTAATACAGTAACTGGCACTCCTGGTATTCCTTTATAACCTGAAAAAAAAAATTATTTACATTATTTATCCGTGGCTTAATGAGCTGACTTATGTATAAACTAACCTTGCAAAATAGTCTCTGATTAAACTCGACCTCATAAAAGAGACTCCTGGCGTTTCGGTCGTGGATTCATCTGCCTCCATTGCATTTTCAGTGGACTCTTCAGCAGTAAAATTCTCTTCTTCGGATGGATCCGCATCTCTATTTTGCCGCGCGATGTTATGTAAAACACCGCAGGCTACAATAACTGCCATAACGGTATTTTGCGAAACTCTTAATCCTGCGGAAAGCACTGGAAAGCGACGCTTCCACACGCCAAAGCACCTCTCTACGCAATTTCTGGTTCTGATTTGAGACTCGTTATACAACCGTTCCGCAGCAGTGTTAGGATGTAAAAGCGGCGTCATCATGTATCTACTGACACCATACCCACTATCGCCTAGTATAAAGCAATCCTTGAATTGATTTAGCTCAAAACGATGCTTAATACGGCTATTATTAAAAATGTTGGCATCATGTGCGGAGCCAGGCCATCGACATACAAGATCAGTTATCTCCAGATTTGCATTGCAGACTGCTTGTACATTATACGAAAAGTACCCTTCCCGATTTCGGAATATTTCGGCGTTTACTCCACCAGGCGATTGGATCTTTACATGGGTGCAGTCTATACATCCAACGACTTTTGGGAAATTTGCAATCCGATGAAAACTACGATTAACAATTTCCAATTCTGCACTGCTTTTTGGCATTTTAATATACTCTCTCGAAAGTTCTGCAATTGCATAGGAGACTCTTTTGACTACTCGGCTTGCAGTGGACGTACTCACTCCACAGAAATCAGCCACTGTAATTAAAAAGCTTCCTGATGCATAGAAGCGCAACGCTAGCAATAACATTTCCAATGGGCTCAGTGCGTGGTTTCTGTAAAACGAATTTTATTAATACAAACGATGCTATTTTTAATATAAATATGTAAACCATATATCCACAAACCTTTGAGTGTAATTTCGAATTTTTCTTTGAATTTTTTCAAAAATATACAGAGCACTTTTTTTTGAAAGACGAAACCTTTTTACAAATGTATACTCGTCATATTCCTCAAAGAAATTTGCTTTCGCTCCATATGTTCGCGGTTTTCTTATAACGCGCATCGAATCCAAATTGGAAATAATAGAAAGCCCAATTATATGTTCCATAATTATAAAAATGTGCGTGTAAATAACAATAAATTAATTTTTGATGTTTTTTACAGCTGTCAGATGTCACTTTTTGATCGGTTAGCAGCTAACCGGTGGCCATCGCCTGGTAAACTTAATCGGTTGTTAACCGACGAATTTGTGCTAATCGGGCATTGAAAAAACGCTTTTTCACCAAAACACCGATTAACCCCCGTTTAGGCACTAATCAGTCTTTAAGAAACCGGCCCTAAGCGTAGATGTATATGCGTGTAAAAGGTACGGCTAATGTGTAGCTTACGCACTCGTTCAATGTTCTAATAATTGACAAAACTTTTAGGTAATAAAAACGATGACTAAAGTTTATTACGGCTGTTTATAAAAATATGAACATGAAACTCTGCCGCAATAGAGATAGGATTTTAGAAATATAACACATTCGTACATACATATGCAAACATACGTAAACCGATGAAATAAACAGGAAAAATATACAGTCCACTAAATGTCAAATGCAATGATAAGCAATAGAATTGTAATGTGACCCTTGCTCATAAAATATGTGAAAATTGCTTATCTGAACAAAATACATAAATTACAGTGTATACAGAAAACATAAAGAAACACGCATACACCAATATACCAATGCCCACAAGCAGCAACTGACAGCCGATCATCAATTGTTTTAATACGTGCGTTAGATGCACTTAAGTCAACAGTGAACCTAAATAAATAAAAAAAAAATACGTTGGTCTTTTATCTCTTACTAGGATTTACTGATTCTGCATAAGACACATACATTTTAGTGCACTTAAAATGCATTGGTATCGGATGTATACAATGAAGATAAGAATACACATTTACGCATGTACACACACACAGACACATATACGTAGTTAAGGAATTAGTATTAGAAAATGTATATAAGAAAGAAATATTCAATAAAGAGGTCAGATTAAATACAGCAATCTCACGGTGTATATTACGTATTTTTGTGATCTTCACTATCCCCCACCCGAGGTAAGAAGTGAAGTTGATCAAAAGTATAATAGTCTTGTACATTTCGTCAGTCGAGCCTAGAAAAGAGCTCAAGCGCAAGTACTATAAGTCTCTGAAAAAAGGAGAGCATTACTTAGCAAAAAAAAAAAATATATATATACATATAAGCCGGAACAGCAAAGACTGTCCGCATTAATATAAAATATACTTAAACAAGTATATAATTCGCCTAAAATTCTAAGCGAAAAGCGTTTCCGTGGCTCACAGCGGAAAAGTGAAAAGTGTTAAAAAGCGTCCTCGTGGCTAAAACAACGAGTACAGTGTTTAAATACTAAAAAAAAACAAAAATCAACAAAAAACAATCAAAATCAACAGTAAAAGAAACAACATCAATCAACATGGAAAATTTACTGAAAAGACAGAAGGAGTTGGGCGATCTTGCTGCGCTGGAAGAACAGAAAATCCTTAGCGGCAAAATAAGGAAAGCTTCATGTCTCGAATATATTCAACATATTCAAACAATGAGGACGGAATTTGATGGAAATCATGCCAAAATTATGGCTAAACCGAGCCAAGAAGCTGACGAATACATTGCCAAGAAGTATTACGAGCATGTTATTCAAGTAATGCAAAAGTCCATTCAGCATTTAAAAATACAAAATGCAGCCGAAGATTTACCAACAGTAAGCGGCAACCAACTTAAACCTGAATCGATGGGAGAAAGGAGTGAGTTCGAGCCATCAGGTACTAATTCCGACGTAGAAAGGAGATTTCAACGTCGAGGAAAAATGCTTAGAATGACCATAGNCGAGTGAGTTCGAGCCATCAGGTACTAATGCCGACGTAGAAAGCTCAGAGGGACCATAGAAGAAATTCAACAAAATGAATTGGATTCTGTCGAAGAAATAAGAAAATTCAAAATTAAGCTTCAAATACAGTTTGAATATGTAGAAGAAGCTTTTTCTGAAACTCGCAGTGTCCATTTAAAAGTCATTACTAAAGACTCAATAGAAGAACAAATGGAGGACTTCCGAGAAAAATACAGCGTTAACATTGAGAAGTTAACAGATAAATTGAAAAGGTGCNAAAGCTAGTAACAAAAAGGCAAGCTTTATCTGATTTGGCGAGAATTTTCGATCCGATTGGGTGGCTTTCACCAATGACTGTTTTAGCAAAGCTGTTTATACAAAAACTTTGGTTGATGAAACTCAACTGGGATGAGTTACTCNGCGCCAACACAAGCTGCGTCATCTACTATGAAACTACAGGAGATTAAGATTCCGATATTTTATGGCGAGATGAATCAATGGTCATCATTTAGCGATCTTTTCCAAGGTTTGGTGCATAATTCGAAGCACTTTACTGAAGTAGAAAAGATGTTCCGGCTGAAGTCGTCATTAGGAGGAGAAGCTGGAAGATTAGTTCAGCATTTACCGGTAATCGAATACAACTATGAAGCCGCTTGGCAAATCCTCCAGGAAAGATATGAAAACAAAAGGCTGCAATTCACAACACAAGTGGACAGACTTCTTGATCAACCAACAGCAAATGGGAAAAGTGCGGCAAGCATGAAGCAACTTTTGGATACCACCAAGGAATGCATTTATGCTCTTAAAGGGCTTAAATTGAATTTAAATGACGAGCAAGCAATTATAGCTCGGATAGTTGTTCGGAAACTAGACAAAGAAAGTCTCCGGTTATATGAGCAGAATGTCAAGAAAACTAGGGATATCCAAAGCCTAGATGATGTTTTCCGTTTTCTGGAGCAGCAATATCAAGCTCTAGAAGCTATACGAGACAGGAAAACAACTAAATGGAGCAATCAAAAGCAGCCACAACGAGCACCCACATTCTATACAGCTGCACAAAAGACCTGTATATATTGCAAGATTCAAATTGTTGAATGCAGAAGGTTCCAGGCATTGACTACGATGAATCGTAGAGGTTTCATAGTAAACAATAAGCTATGCAATATTTGCCTCGACCACGTATATGAAGGCAATTGCAAGAATAAGAAAAAATGCAGTAAGTGTGGAAGAAATCATCATAATTTACTGCATTACAGTGAATTCCAGAAGGAAAAAGGAGCAGGTGAAGAAAATGCTATAAAAAAATCATCCACTATGATGACAAAAAAACTCCGAAACAGCAATACTTCTAGCAACAGCCCAGATAAGAGTGAAGGCGGCAAATGGAGAGTACGTGACATTGCGAGCACTAATCGATCAAGGATCACAGAAGACTACCATTTCTGAAGAAGCCGCTCAAACACTATACTTACCAAAGAGAAGAGAAGTAACTGAGCTACAAGGGCTAGGAAATACTATAGTGGGAGTCTCCAAATTTAAAGTCAACATTGAAATCAGGCCGAGATTCCTAAGCAACGAAGTGTACAATGTCGAAGCACTGATTTTGCCGAAATTGGCGAGTGCACAACCTGATAAAACATTTAAATGGGATATAGAACAATGGAGAAACTATACCTTAGCTGATCCCAACTTCAATAGGTCAGATCGAATCGACGTCGTTATTGGAGGAGATGTATATGCTGACATATTAGAAGAAGGCATATTTAAGAAAGATCGAATACTAGGCCAAGCTACGAAATTAGGATGGATATTGTCGGGAGTTTTACAACAACCGAGAAAAAATGGTAGAATTCTAGCGGCGGTGACCACAACGTTGGAGAAGTTTTGGGAAATAGAAGACACCACAGCACCAACATATATAGAAGATGATGATGAATGTATGAAGATATTTGATAAAACGACAACAAGAGATGAAAATAATAGATTTGTCGTCAATCTACCTTTTAAGAAAGAAAAAGAGTTAGGCGACTCTCGCCAACAAGCAATGGCGAGGTTTCTTAATCTTGAGAAAAAGTTGGCTTCAGATGACAACCTAAGAAAACAATATGTGCAATTTACGAGAGACTATTTAGAAATGGGCCACATGAAAAAAGCAAGTGGAAATAATTGCGGAAAATACTATTTGCCACATCAAGCCGTAATTCGAGAAGGAAGTCTCACAACTAAACTACGAGTAGTTTTCGATGCATCTGCAAAAACTACAAATGGAAGTAGTTTAAATGACATCCCTTTAATAGGCCCGAGACTTCAAAAAGATATATTTGACATAATTATCAAATGGAGACTTTGGCAATATGTGTTTACAGGTGATATTGAAAAGATGTATCGACAAATTAAAGTAGCAGAAAGTG